TCCCCTGCAAACGTTGCTGAGTTTTGCAAGCTTCAAGTCCTCGGAGAGTCACATTTTCTTGCTTCTCTCTGTAACCTTGAGAGTCAGAGCTTGAGGGTTTTTTTTTTGTTTGTTTTTGTTTTTATGAAAGCTGAGATTCTCAATGTTCTGGAGCCAAAGCTTTCAAGGAGAAAACAGAAAGTGAGAGCAGGGGAACCCACGAACACTGGCTTTCTGGCAGATTCTCTGATGTCCAGTGGGGTTGAGCTGAAGTGAGGCTGCAACCTTCCCTTCTGCAAGATTTCGGACAGGGCCTTCTCTTTACCATCACCTACGCACGCGTGACTTGGTGGAACAGGATGTGTTTGATACCTCTGACATACTGGCCAATTTAGCTGACGCTGTCCAAAATGATTTAAAAGCTCTCGATGGTGAGGCAGACGGATGGACAGCGTGTCTCGGACGCCGTTTCCCCAGGAAAGCCCTCTATGGAATAGCGCGTTGTGCAACCACCACGATAACATCTTGACAGCTTACACCGATATTTCTCTGGTTTTTTGGAGAGCTGTGGTGTTGCAATCCAGGCTCAGGGTTAAGAGCTGGAGTTCTGGAAAGCTCATCTCCAGGAGAAGCATGATGGAGAGGCGTCACGTCCAACGGGCGCCCGGGGCCGGAGGGGCAGGAGCCTCCGCTGGACCCGCTCCAGCAGCTTACGCATTTGATGAGCTGTGCTGGCCCCAAATGTTTATTGTTTCCCAGCAAAGTTGTACTAGAAGCACAACAACAAAATAAAATATAACAACATTCAAAGGTTAACGTGTGTTATTTTTCGCCCTTGCGCCCCAGGACTTTCCTGCACTAATGTTAGCGACTGCCACGCTTTGTTCAACCTGACAGACCAAAACAGAGGGAGGGGGCAGGAATCGAGAGCGGTTCCCGCTGCAGATCAGATTTAAGTGGAAGCTGCTTTCGGAAACCTGGCCACGTCCAGAAATTACAACCGGTCTCGGCAATTACGAGAAGTAAAACATTAAAAAGCATGAGACAAAGTGCATTTGCATGCTAAAAGCTCCGCCAGCGGTGCTGAGAGAAAGTGTCCAACAACAAAGCAGAACGCTTCCCCCTCCAAAAAAAATATATTAACCCCGGTGTCACATCACCCTCCCCATTTGCACCCCAAAGACCACGGGGCACAGCCACAGCCCCCCTGCGCCAACCATCAGGGCTGTGGTCCTGGGCCAGACACCCAAACCTGCAGTCTGAGCAAAGCTGCAAGAGTTAAGCCGTGCTCAGCCATCCCCATCGCAGCACAGCCCGGGGGGGTTGCCGGGAGGGGGTGCCGGGAAGTTTCTCCAAATGAGGTGGATTCACTGGAAAGCGGTGTTCCAGTAAATGCCTTCCAGTTCCGCAATTGCTGTCGCGGTAACAGGTCTGGGTTTGATTCTGAGGGTGCAGGTGGGCAAGTCACCTGAAGGCCACGAGAAGGAAACTCCTGCATCTGCTCCAAAAGTGCAAACAGGGCCTTTGGACGGGGACTGGGAGGGAGGGAGCGTGAGAGGCAGCACGCTGCTGCCTCCATGGGTAGGATTTCACCTGAAAACACAGCTTCATTCTGAGCATGAGCTGCTGATAGGAGGGTCAGAGCAGAAGTCTTGGACAGATAAACTGCAACCCTCCAACAGAGATGTCCAACCCCTGACCTAGCTACAGAGTAGAGTTCTCCTTGAGGATTGTCCACAGAAACCAGAAGTTCACCCCACGGAGTCACTGAGGCCATCAGCACCTGCACGGGATGTACGTCAGGCACTGGAGCTTGTCTGGTCCCTTCCTTCATCCCCAGCTGGACCTCCCCTGCCTCATCCTCAGGAGCTGCCCTCCTGGTTCTGGTGCCCACCACTATCTCAGGAGGCATTTTTGCCACACCAGCATCAAACGTTCCCTCCCCAGTGCTAGGTCCGGTCCCAGGCGTGTCCCCACCATCATTTCCCCATGATAACCTCACTAGCTGTCCTCATCCAGCAGTACCTCTTGCCCTCAATACCCTCATCTGGCCCTGTTGCACTGGTGGTGCTCCTTTTTTTCCTTTTTTTTTTTTTTGAAAAAAAATAAAATTCAAGGATCTCAGGTTTCACAGCAGAAGTCAGCGTCTAGCTGAGAGCGCAGGGAGATGTTCCTCCACTCCACTGAAACCCAGAGTCACCCACGTTACACCGGAGGTAATATTTTGGTCTGAACCCGGTGCTGGCCACCACGAGGGAGAAGATGACAGACTTGCGATGCTTGTGTCAGCACGGCTGATGGCAGGACAATAGGCTGTTTGAGCCAATGGTTTGTCAGGTAATTTAGCGTAACGATGCAGTAAGTCGCTCTCCAAGTGGTGAGGGATTCGCCATCGAGTTAAGTCAATAGCCACGCCACCAGCCCTCACCCCAAGACCGTAGTGGCCAGGAGATGTCCCCTTGCTCACCCCTCTCCCTCCCAGGGCCTGCTCACAGGATACAACACAACAATCCCAAAACCAGGCAACTGCTTCAAATGATGCGTGCAGAAAGCTCTTAGCACCGGGATTTATTCCTATTCCCACTTCTAGAACCTCAGTTTCAGCTGCAAAATTATATGATAGAGACATAAGGGGAACGAACGGGGGTGACAACCCTCCAGGGACCAGCCTGGGAGACCGACAACAGGCCTGCAACGTCTTCTGGGGTGGAACAAACAGGAGCCACAAAGAAGGGGAAGCAATGTAGGAACGTACACACTCACATCACATACACACAAATAGATTTCTCTCACTTAAATAAGAGCATTTCTGGACTCAATGCAAAAGAAGGGCTTTCCCAGAGAAAGGCTCATTAGAAGTCCTCACCGCTCCAGTACCTTTCCCCTCGCTTCAAATAATAATATTAAAAAAAAAAAAAAAAAAAAAAGCAGGGCATGTTCTTTTGAAGGTTGTTTTCTTTCATCCCTTCTCCACCCCCCGTTGATCTCTCCGGCGTTTGTGGCTGGCCTGTTACCTCCGGCTGAGAGAGCAGGCCGCGAGCCAGGCACAGCCCCAGCAATGCTCCTGGAGGAGCTCCACCACCAGCTTCCCTCACCCAGCACCTCGGGGACCACAAATTCCCTGCCAGAAAAGGGGGTCTGGGGACCCCAGCCCACCCCAGTGGGGAGTGGAGGTGCTGGGACGGCTTCCCCCGAGCAAAGGCTTGGTGGGGAGGGAGGTTTCAAGCCAGGGAATGAGAAGGTGGAGGATTTGGGGGATCTTTTTGCCCATTTTTGTTGTTTTCCAGGCAGTCTGTAGGGCACAGGTTGCCCCATCACCAGCTAAGCTCTCTGACCCTCAGGGGTGAGCAGTGCTGGATGCTTAACGTGGTTGTTGAAATCTGTCTACACAGGGCACTGAGTCTTCACCTGCTCCTAGGGCTGAGTTTTTGCCCAGCTGGGCTTATCTGGCAGCAGATAACATCACGGGGCACCAGCAGGACGGGTTGCAAGAGGATTAACAGGCAGGTGATGGGATCCATCCACCCCACAGCCCCATCAGCTACCCTCGACCCAGTCCACCTCCAGTGCACCAAAACAGCCGTGCCCTCGCTCTGGGTGACCACATCCAGCCCTGCCCCAGGGACCTGAGGCTGGTAGGGGAAGTAACTCCTCATCTTCACCAGGGTTCCCCACATCAAATCCCAGCACCAGCAACACGGCATCCTTTATTTGCATCACAGCATCCACTCAGCTGGGCTGGGAACCTCGAAGGAAACTCTAAAAATGCCCAGGAATTAATTCCACCCTGCACGGGAGCAGGAGAAGCTCCTGCTCCGGACTCATTGCGCCCTTGATGCATTTTTACTACTCTAAATAAGGCGGGGAGCCCAGGAGCCCGGACAAGAGAACGGCAATCCCTGCCCCCAGAGCGCCTGTAAACCGCAGAGACAAGATGTAACACGAGGAGGAAGCAGGCTGGAGGCAGGAGGGGATACCATAAAAATAGGATGGTTTGGAGAGCCTTTGGTGCGGGCGTAAATCACGGCTGATCTCCCCACAGATCTCAGCAGGGCAGAGGAAGTCCTCTCCCAGCGCAGCCGAACCAAACCCACCTCCCTTGGCTCGTGTTGGAGCAGCGGAGCCTGCATCCAGCCAAGCTGGCATAAAGAAGGGAAGAAGTGTGCCTGAGCCCAAGGAAACAAACAGATGGGGCTGGAGGCAGAGGGACTTGGCCACACGTGGATGGTGATGGGATCCCCAGCTCCAACAGGACCCTTCCTCTGCTCCTGGAGGGACCTGGGACCTGCCACGAGGAACATGGGGAGCTCAGGGCCAGCTGCCACTGACCAAGAGGGATAAAGTTCTCTGCACACCAGCAAGGCTTAAATAAACCCAACTGGTCCCAAAAGTGAACCCCACATCCTTAGCTCTCTCTCTCCCACCCCACTCACGAGTCTGCAACAGCTAAGATGGGATTTTTTTTATTTTTTTATTTTTTTTTTCAAGAAGGAAAGAGAAAGGCTGGGGGGAAGAGGCATCCCATTTCAAATAAACAAACTAAATTTACTGCCGGACACATCTCTAAACCCTCAGCCCCGGCCAGCAAACTGCAGCTGCGATGTAATAAGCACATAAATAAAGTTTACAGCTAAACTGGCCTGACCCAGTATTGCCCCGAGGTGCAGAAGCAGTATCTTGTCATTAGTATGCAGAACACATCGCCTTAATGTCTGCTCATTTGTTCTCAGCCCACTCGGCTCTATAAATCTCCACAAAAGGGCAAGGCAGGGCTGCGGGGGAGAGGGGGGAGCACGGCCCGGCCAGGGGGATGGGAACAGCCCCCGGTCCCGCATCCCTGCCAAAAACATGGGCGATGGGGGCTCTACCTGCATTTATTGCTCCTTCAAGTGTTAGAGTCTGCTTGAGGAAGAGGAGCAGCTGGGAAGCACTTGCCCACTGAAACAGAGGGAAATAAAATAAAATAAAATGATATTTCTGTAACAGGGGGGGTCCAAGGGCTACCTGTGTGGCTGGACCCCTTGCCAGCTGCTTGCAGTGACCGCAGACTGAGTGCAAGCACAGCAGGGGCATGAAAAAATAATATAGCGGTATTTTCCACTTTTTTCATCATTTTAAATGATTGCCAAGCCTTTATGCCCCTGTATACAGTGTGCCACCACCAAACCACCCCTTGCCATCCCATCCCTAACAGCACTTTCTGTAGGGATTTCTCCGTGCACAAAGTTTTTGGCATGGGTAACAGGGAGATGGTAGGGTTTGGGGAGAATTCCTGCAGTTATGGCATCATCGTGCAGGATCAGCAGCATCCCCAGCACCCAAACAGCGGTGTGATCTCCTCCCTGCACTGCAGCCTTGCATCTCCCAGGCAGGTTGTGGTGGGATGAGAACAAACTCTGATGTGCTGTCCTACATGGCCCTGCTAGAAAGCAGCTTCACTGCACAGAAAACTATTTTCTGTACAGGGAAATATTACCGATCCTTCTCTGTCATCAGTCTTGTTGGGCTCTCCCCGACTTGTCTGAAGAAAGCAAAATGTGATTTATTGTCTGACAAAAAAAAAAAGAGAGAGGAGCAGTGCAAAGCAGCCACACGGCTGATCAAGCACCTGGGGAGCAGAAGAGGAGCTACCTGGGATGGAAGGTGCCAAAGGGAAACCACATCGATCAGCAGAGTCTGGTGGCCCAAGAATCAGGATTTAATTAGGCTACAAAAACCTAATTAGGCTATAAAAATCAGGAAAATTAGTGCATGAGGCACAGGGTCCCCTCTGAAGCCTCCCACAGGGACAGCAATTTCCCTGCATAGCCTATGTCCAAAGACAGCCAGGAGATGAGGAAGCTTTGGGCTTGCAGCTGGCAGCTGTTAACACCCACAGCTGTGCCGGGTCTTTCCCTTTTTCTGCAAAAAGCACTGGTTTCTGCCCTGCGAACACAAGTTACTCCTGATCTAAGCTTTCCGAAGGACAGCTCCACATGCTTGTACAGCACAGGGCAAAGAGGTCGGCGCTCTTCAGAGATAACACAATAAAAGTGAGCATCTATGCGATTCAGCAGCTTTCAGGTGTTTCCAAGCAGAATAAAAAAAAAAAAAAAAAAAAGTATTACTAAAGTATGATTTTGCTTTTAGAATTATACCAGAAAAAGAAAATCACTTCTTTGCAAGCAAAGGAATTTCCCCTCCCAGCTGGCACTTCAGCCTGGGACTGGCAGCAGGGAAGCTCAGCATGATGTTGGGAAATAAAAAAGCAGCTTAAGAGACCAGAGCCGAGGCTGGGCTGGCTCCAGCACTGACCTGTCCCAGCTCCTCTGGCACCTCTCCTCGCCAGGCCTGTGCAAGCAGGAGGTTACCCTGCAGGCAAGCAGAGCTGGTCAGAAAGGTGAGGCTGCAGCCAAAAAGCAGTTGGCAAAAGGTAGGGAGGAGACTCAAAAATATGCATCAAGTGTGTAACCACGTGTAAAACCAAGCACACGCTCCCTGATAGCTTTCTGCATGCTAGAAGCTAGAAAGCTTGAACTTCAGAATTTTCCTAGTATGTACCAAGAAAGCCCTAAAGTTACATGTTTTCCAAGATTCCAAGTATTTCTCTTTCATTACTTTTTAAATAATGCAATCTGCAGACACACCAGGTTCACGCTTTCTGGGATTCCATCATCATTTGGACGTACACAAGGTGTGGTGTTCCAGCAGCATGCAGGCACCTCAGCTCTGCAACAGCCTCCAAAAATAAGGACACAAATCCCCTATTCTAGGTGATGTATTAAGGGCAGAGACTAAAATTAAGGATAAGGTTTGAACTGAAACTCAAGGCTCTAGCTGGTTTGCAAATCTAAGCCCAGGTGTTGTAATTGAGTCACCTGGCTGCATTGCATGCATACAGTGCCTTCAGATTTGCTTTTTAAGGAGCTGATTCAGCAGATCCCATCGGTTCCCACAGCTTTTGCTGCAGGTTAGCAAGAGGAGCTCGAATTCAGCACAGCATTTACCCAGTGTCATTCTGGATCGGGGTGGAGGGGCGAAGCCTGAGAACATTTCTGATGTCAGAAGCAATCAGGAGATGCGAGGAGGCTCCGCACAGACACAAAATTGGTGATGAAACCACTAGGTGTTTTGCATCTCGTTACACTGGAGGACTTCACTCTGTAACCGTGCAGCCCGTTGGTGTTAAACACGTTCCTGTACCTGAGCGTGAGTAAGATTGTGTTTAAATACGGCAAGATCCATTAAAGCTGCCCTGGTGGCGAGGCAGGTGACCTCCCTTACCTCAGGTGGGAAACCAGCGCATCCGGCCGCTGATGCATCTCTCAGATATGCCAACTTGTTAGGTGATAATTGACACGCAATAAATCTGGTTTTTAACTCAGTTAATTACCAGCATTGCACTCATGAGTAATATGATAGCATTTAAGGTGTGGCGCATTTTCCATTACAGAGCCCCGGCCGCATGAATTCCATGAGAAAAGCTTTCTCCTGGATGCAGCTCCGCAGCAGGCAGCCCCGCTCCAGCTTGAGCTTTTAACCCCAAAACACCCCCCAAAACTTCACATTGCAGCTTCTTCTGCAGAGCTGAACTGACACACGCCGGCAGCGCTGTTGTCGGTGAACCTGGGCTGATTTCGTGCCACTCCCAGCCTTCCCCGTTCCGTAACACCATGGCACTTGCATCAGTGTCAGCAATACCGGATGGATTGAAGGGTATTATGCCTAAAAAAACAAGGAAGGAAATATTGCAACCGAGCCAAAGACCTAAGAAAAACCAAGGCTGAGGAACTGAGCACTCAGGTTCCCAGCTGGAAATTGTTCTTGAAGGCACGGTTCAGTTCAGTGCAGCAGCAAAGTTAAAGTTTGTGGCAAACGAAAACACAAAGCCCCAACAGGAGGAAGAGCTCTAGGAAAGGACAAAGCGGCGTAGGAGAACACCTCTGTGATACAGCAGCAAGCTCAAAGTGCAACGTCTGTAATCCAGACCTCACACAGCTCTTTGGTGTATTCTCAGCAGAGCAGAGCCCATTGAAACAAGCTGCAAAAGCTGCTTTTCCAAAATACCCTTTTGCAGGCAGGTAGTTTCAGCAGAACCTGCATCAAGGCTCAGTGCAGAAAAGCTTTTATCTCAAGTTAGAGGAAAAAAAACAAAAATGCCCGTACTCCCCAAAGGTCCTCAGGGCAAATGCATACAGCTAGGATAGGAGGACAATCACACCAGGGCTTCAAACCCAGGGCCACTCATGTCCTTAACTGGAGCTTCTGATGGAAGAGGAGGGCTTTGCATGGTTACATGGGCATTGCACGGGGAAGGAGAGGAAAGCAAAGCTTGCACTCAGCTCCCTGACCCAGCCCAAGGTCCACAAGAGGGAAACGCCTGCACTCCAGCTCCGTGATCCAGACACAGCCAGAACCAAAAGTAGGAGCTTCTTCCCCAGAGGAGCCCAAAAAGCTCAGCCCTGCAGGACCTCCAAAGCAGCCCAGCCACACACAGAAAGCCTCAGCTTCAGCCCAGCCTGCAAACATTTCAGTATCCGACCTGCTGGGAGCTGTGCAGGTAGGAACACAAAGCAACCAGCAGCTTTTTTCCACCTCATCACATTTGAACCCTCCACCTCCAGGACACGGCTGCACAGCTGCTCCCGTGCACAGATTTAGACAGGGCTGCCTGAAGCCATACCCCTGTTCTCCTATAAAGAGGGACCCGATGCATTACTACCCAACCTCACAGCAGTTTCAACCTCACTGCTTTCAAGCTGACACGTTTCTGTCAAAGAGACAGAAAATCGAGAAAAAAAATTCCCTGCAGATTCTCATCTTCCTTCTGTAGCCTCCTCAAGCCATTGTTTTGCAGTACAAGTATTTCAGCTCTCACTGTACCAGGGAACAGGATTAGACAGGTCACCGTGGGATCAGATTACAGACTTTTACCTTTTTAACTTCTCTTCTCAGCACGTAGGCTCGAGAACTGACACCCGGCGAGGGAGCAGGCAAGGGACAGGCATGGGTGGAGGTGGCCGCCAAACGTCAGTGATTCAGAGCGATTTGCCAAGTCATTGGAAGTTCTCACGATTCCAGGGCCTAAAACAAAGAATCGGATGGGCTAAAATTAAAGGGTGCAGAAGCTAAGAATTTTACCCAGCCCATACAGGCAGCACAGGGAGCAGAGGATGAGAAAGCATCCTGCTAGAGCTTTATTTCCCATGCGGTTCAGAAACGCATTCGCCCTCCCAGCTCCCCACAAAGACATCCCAGACTGGTCTGGGAGACATCAAGAGACAGGACAGGTAAAGAGCCCATTCCAAAGGGTAATCACTCCAGTAAAAGCCCACGTCAAACTTGTTATGTCTGTTTCTAACTTAGACCTATTAAAGCTCATTACAAACTTCTCTGATAGCTGCAGATAGCTTACACTCACTTTCCCTATTGCAAAGGGAACAGGGCTGCCCATCCCCACACCTCCTGCACAGGAGTGTCATACAAATTAGATAATGATACTCGAAACATCTTTATTATTATTCAAAACATCTATTAAAACCAAGCCTTGTCTCTGTAGTTAGCAGTACTCATACTACTCATTGTAGTTAGCATTATTCCTACTATACATTCACTATTAATATCGACATTATTTGGCTTTGAGTGTAACATTTTTCCCCCATGAAGTACAGGAGTTACTGAATTTGTTGTAATTAGACTCAAAACACAAGGAGCACAAAGTGACTCGCCCAAATTTATATGAGACAGACATGGCAAAGAACAAACTCCTTTTCCCGGTAGATCAGCGCCCTAATCACTGAACAGTTCTTCCTCCATTAACCTCCCAAATGACATGAAAAAAATATTAATTACCAAATTAATTAGCTTGTGTTGTTTTCCTTGTTCACCAATTACGCACACATTCATTAACTTGGTTCCCTACCATCTCGTTACTTCAAGTCATAGGAATGCCCAGGTGTTAAGGGAACCTGTGCAGACCTGAACTGCCTCAAGTCCAGACACTGCCGCGCGTGGGACACGCGGGTCCTTAGCTGGACCCAGAAGACAAATCCCATCTCATCCTGCACCCGTACCAGGCAGCACAGCGTGCCCATGAGCTCTGCCAAGTGGCGGAGAACCAAGGAACCTCCAGTCTGGGACCCAAAGTCCAGCAAGGACGTGGTGTGAAATGCAATGTGCACGAAATGCCCAAGACTCATGGTCACAAACCACAAAGATGCTCTGACTTTTGGAAGAAAAGGCAAATTTATTTGCTTTTTCTAGCAAATCCCAAAAAGCCAAGATGCAAAATTAAATAATTCCAAGTCTCTGCTGCAGGGTATTGCTCGTGAGAAAAGATTTCCCTCAAATAGCACCAGCGTCTGATGTCAATTTGGGGTCTAATCCCCAGGGGCACGTTGCACAATCTGGTCTCAAACCTTCTGAAGAAGGCTCAGACATATGATTTTAGCTGAGACATCGCCATTTGACCAATTTGCCTCTCCCAGTCCCAGGGATAACGAAGAAAAACTGGTGTGAGCTGCACACCGAGAAGTAGAGATGCTGAATTCATTCCACTGTTAAGGGATGCACTAAAACACATTTCTTTAATGGCATTCTTATGGTATGTATGATAGACATTAAATTCATGATTGTTTCATCACACAAACAGCAGAAGTCCCCAGTATTAATTTCCGCAGCCACCCAGCCATTTCTCATGCCTTGTGGCCCTTTTAATGGTCTTTCCTACACTGTGCAACCTTCCCTAGTTTAGCCAGAGGCTGCCTGCTGCCCACCCCTCCAACAGACACCCACAAGCAGGCAAAAACAAGAGAAAACAAGAATTTTAACCAAAAGCCAGAGCAGACCGGTCTCTGTCATCCCAGGTGAACCCCAAATAGAGAACATCAGCACACCAAGGGCTGGAGCCACCTGCTGCAGGTCCCCTGTTGGGAACCTCATGGTGCTGAGCCCACCCCAGAGGCAGCCACATGCCACCAGCCCAGCCTCTGCAGGCATCCAGGGCTGCTTCAGACATTTTGGCATATCCCAAAATGGCCCAGAACACCTTCGTTAATAAAGCTTCTGAGATAAAGACTAACGCAATCCCTTTTTTCACAGGCTTCTGCCGGGTAATTACAAGCCTATCACTGCTGAGTTAATTACACGCAGCTAGAGATGTTATTACGTGCAGATGGAAAAACACATCCTACCTGGAACAAGTTCCTTCTGCCCTTAGCTGGCTGATAGATAAATGTTTTCCAGAGAAGAGGAAAGCTGGGAAACCTCCTTTCAAACGGTGAGCGGGCGGTTGTGCAACGCTGCTCCCTTCCAAAAAGGGAGCTGGGACCCAGAACACCTCGGGGGGAAAGGAGCCCACGAACTGGGGTTTGTGGTGACTGCCCCATTCACACCTCCAGGGCTTCAGGGAAGGCAGCAGGGCTGAGCCATGTGCTCAGGGAGAGGAACCCACACCCCTCAGGAGCATCGTTTGCTCCAGAGCCTTGCAGATAAGTCACCAGGAGCCCCAGGTGGGCACTTGCAGACAAGCAGTGGCAAAAGGTGATTTTCTCCTGGTGATAACATGCATAGGGAGCAACTGAACAGTGGCAAGCCTTGGCTCCTTATAAACAGCTTCATTTTCAGCTGATCCCCAAAGAATCCCACTCCTTGCTTTGTGGGGGGGCAGTTTCTGAAGGCTGAACGTTTCCAGACAGCACATTCAGGACATGCACCGTGGAAGCCCACACAAAGGCTGGAGGAAGATAATTTCCCCCTCCCCCCCAACTGCTGCTCTATTTTAAGCAGAGAATTTTGGAAAAGAAAACACATGAAGAAACACTGTCAAGCTGCACCGATTAATAAATGCCAAACAGATGCACACCATCCTCTGCAGGATGATGTATGCGACAGGCCAGGGCAAACCCCAGCAAATGCATTTCCGAGCTCACCGCCCGAGGGCTCAAACAGGTAGCGACAGAGAGGGGGGAAAAAAAAAAATCACAATTATAAAAAGAAACTGTCGGGGAAAACACTGAAAACAAGCAGGCGAGGAAAGTGACAGTCGGGTTCAACAACGGAGGTGGTGAAAGGAGCTGGAGACAAACAGCTACCGGCAGCGTGCTGCGCTCAGGAGGGGTGGCAGCCCGGATAACGGTGCAGCCTGGGGGCAGTTTGGCCATGGGGACCCACAGGCAGCCCCCCTTGGGATGGTTTCCTACAGTTTCCATGACCAGGGGGGCTCCACTGTGCACCCACGGAGATGTGCACAGAGCAACAGCTCGGCTCTTGGAAAGCTCCTCAGCTCTTGCTAACAACCCCGAGATGGAGAGAATTCGCCCTCCCCCTCCTCACGAGCTAATCCGGTATTTAATTAAACTCCAGGTTAAAAAAAAAAAAAAAAAAAAAAAAAAGAAGAAATAAAAACACGTGTTATTTTCCAGTATGAACTTTGCTGATGGCTGTTTCCAGCCCTGGGTCTCCCTCTGCTTCCTGAAGCTGGGAGTGTTTGGGTATCAATCACCTTGGGAAGGTGCATCACCTCCTCTCCTGCCACTCACCCCGGCTAGGCACTGCTTCTGGACTGAGTCAATACTCAAAATATTTGCCATCAATGTGTCAGGCATGTAAATTAGCATTTAAGTCCTGATGCTTGTACCCAATTAAAGGCTTCTTAATCTCCCGATGCTCAGCCAGGAACGAGGCTGCCAAGGAGGGGCCATTCCCAGCCTGCACTTCGCTCCTGGTCCCTGATAGACAAAAAAAACACCCTTTTTCAGAGATTCTCACTAAAACCAGCACCGCTCCCTGCCCGGAGCCCCGGCAGCCCCTGCCCTTCCAGCTGATCCAGTGGAGCACCCGTGCAGCTGCTCGGGCACATTTTTGCCATTGCGCACCCACCCCTGCGACCAGGCAGGAGGAATGCAGCGCAGTCAGTCCTGCTGGCTTGTGAAAACGTCTGCCTTCGCTACCGAGCACAGAACTGAAACCATTTCCAAGACATTTGCTGACCCTCCACACCCACTCTGCAGTATGTGAGGCCGGTAATTATTTACCCAGCAAAATATTAAATAAAGAGAGGAAAAAAAGCTCTCAGGACAGGCAGAGCTACTTATCATTTCCTTCAATCTAGGGTTGGGTTTTGGAGAGTCATTTGCCTACAGGTGACTGACAGCAGCGTTTTATGATGAAATGCTGTTTGCAAAAACACCTTGCCTAAAAATGGTTCCACCAGAGCGAATAAATTCCATCAGCTAATCTGACGCTGCCACCCACAAATCCTATTGCTCATAAATACAGACGTATGAGCCCAAGATGTGGTACCAGCAGTGGGTGAACTGATTTAACTGATATCCCGATAGATCCTGCGCCTTTGGGACAGCGATGCCAGGCACTGATTTTATTGCAAGCTGCCCTTTGAGAGCCAGGGATCACACCATGAATTACAAGGCACAGGCAAGCACTGCGTGGCCGATTCTGTCTCAAGCATCTTTGCATGCCCAGGCCACCACCCTCAGGGTGCTGCTGCCTCTGGGCACGTGCTCCTCCTGGGCAAGTGTCATGCATGAGACAAGAAGGAACACGTTGACTCCTTTGTGATGCAGTAGGACTCCAAAAAGCACTTCCTCAGAGAAAGGCTTTTTTCAAACTGCCCCAGACACCAATAATGCAAATGCACAGAAGGGTTTCCTCCTTTCCAAAGTGCAGAATCCACATTAAGCAGAGAGGCTGGGAGAAGATGCAAGTCAAAAAGAGTCAAGAAAAACTCACACAGGGTAGAGGCAGGGAAGCTAATTAAACCAGCTCAGGTGTTCCCTGCACCTCAGGCTAGTGTCAGGAAAAAAAAAAAAAACACATGTGCACACACAGAGGAAGGCGATAGCCCATAATATGCACTTTGGTGCTTCTCAGAGGCTTTTACCTAAGCGTTGCCACAGCGATGTGTACATAACTCTGTCCTCGCTCCGAACTGCAGTCAGCAGCCCGACGGCACCCAGTGGTGGGTGGACAGGTGCCTGTCAGAGCAGATGGGGTTTGCTCGGGGCAAAACCCAAATCCTGAGCTGGGTCCTGCTGACAACCCCTTCCCCAGGGGGGAGAACTGGA